ACACATCGTTTAGATACACAGTATACCATGGTCTACCACGAATATCAGGAATTGTACAATAGTATCAACGAAATCGTTTTTCGTTCACTCGAAAAATTTCGTTTCTGTTTCGCTTGGGGACAAAGTTCGAAACGAATTCTTGCCGCAAGACAAATCTACGTTGTTCTTTTCCGTATCGAATAACAATTGTTTACGTCTCGAAAACAAAGTTATAAAGCACAAAAATCGTTCGAAAAATCAAAAAAAAAGAACAAAAAAATTAGAAATATAGTATTATTAAATGTTTCGATCAGAAACGTACTTTTGCTACAAATTCTAAGTGAGAAAGAAATTAATAGCAATGTTGATAATTTTTGAATAAAAATGAACAACATTTTATAATTCGTCGATAATTATGTTCGTGATGCAGCAAAAAACTTTATGCCCCTTACGATAGACAACCTTCTCATATAAGCGTGTAACAAAGAATCCTTGTTTATCTACGTATAGGGGCTTAGAAAAGTTTTTTCCTATAGTCAACATTCATGACCATAATTATCGATGAAATATGAGCGGTACCTATTCTTATGCAAGATCATCAATATTTACATAATAATAATCCAACAATTTCATGTTAGTCATTAAACTTATTTTAAGATAATCGAAACTTACTTCGTTGTAGGTCAAAATTACTTCAAAGATTAAAATGAAACTTGCTATTTTTTTCCATCAATATCTTAAGTATAACCATCATATATCCACCGTTAAAAAAAAAATACTGCTTCTCCAAATAACTGTATAAGTAAGCAAATGCACGTTAAGACGATTCGTCGTTTATCGAGTCGATCGATCGGAGTATTTTCTATATTTTTAAAAAAACCTAAACGTGTAACCATCGGACGAGATCAAGCTTGCATTAAAAAGTTGGAAAGGCTTGGCCCGGATAAGAAACTTTCGAGTTTTCAGAGTCAATCCGAAGCGGCATGGAATAACGATTCTTTATTTCTTCTTTTTCTATCTTTTTTACCATTTTCTTCTTCTTCTTCTACCTTTTTTTTGTTTTACAGTTTTCCGACTCTTAGATAATTTCGTCGACCCTCTTGTGCCACGTCAGCGCATAAATTTTCGAAACATCGCCAAGGGATTTGACGTCAGACCTTTTCGCTCACAAATAAAGTACGCTGAGTCGGACATCGAATCGATTACCCGAAAGATGTAGACCGATCGTTTTTCCAACAGAAAAATATTGTCACATTTATTTATTTACTGTATTTAACGAACCATCCGACTTTTTTTTCCTTTGATTGAATTTTCTCTTAAAAGAAAAAAAAAAAAAAAAAAAAAAGATAAGAAATCGAGTGAAAATACTCTTCAAACAAAAAGTATACTGAGAAGTTACTTCTTTTAAACAAGAAGCTAATAGTACAAATTCGTAAGGTAGGAAGTACACATCATATCTTCCTTTAAAAAATTGAACAAGCATTCTAAGTGAAAAATACACAATTGGCGAGAAATCTGACGCAAGAAAAGCATTGTTACTCTCAAATGATTAGAAAAATTAGATATGAGAAAAAAAGAGCAAAGAAAGGGAAGAAAATTCCTTTGAATAGAAGAACATCCGACGCGTTCCTACTAGCTATGGTTAAAAACAAAAGAGAGAGAGAGACAGAGAGAAAGAGAGAGAGAGAGAGAGAGAGAGAGAGAGAGAGAAAAGGAGAGAGAGAGAGAAAGAGAGAAAATGGGAGATAGTTCGTCAATCGGACCTCGAAGAGATTTATATCTCTTCTCACACACAAGAATGCATTGCATAGTACGGATGCAGAGTATGGAACGAATGGACAACAGTAAGTCATAGTGATTCTCTCGAAAGGGATATCTCGCCTAAACTATCCGTATTGAAAGTACGGATATACCACGAGACTAGTCTAAAGAAATAATATTGCCTCCCGCTGCCGAAATATTGGCCATGTTCCAAATGGAAACAGATAAAAAGCCCGAAGGGAATAGTAGGCTCTCTCTCCCCCACCCCCCTCTCTCTCTCGAAGCACTACCACCCTCCTCTCAACATTTTTCCAACTCCTCTTTACATTTTTCGAGTCAATGAATATATATATATATATATGTACTCATATATACACATAACCATATAGAATCGAGAGACACAGGTAATATCTTTATAACGCGTTACATATTATGAGTTTCCAATGTTATTAATCTTCGCTTATGATAATATCTACACTTACACAATATTAAAATATGATAAACTTTCATCAAATACTCTCGATAATGTTATGATATCGATTGTACGATAATTACCATAACTGGGTTCATTGTTATAAAATATTTGATCAAAGATTACAAAGCATCATTGTTAACGATCAATATTAACATCCTTGTTATTATTCTTAAGATAGATTAATATTAATGAAGAAAGAAAACTTACCTTCTTACTGAATTCTTCCTCGAGAATACGTTTTTCTTTTTCAATTTCTAGGCATACTAATTCATTTAATTTCTCATCCGTAACATCTTCCTTTGATGCTTTTAGGGCAGCTTTTACTTTGGCAGTATGAATTGTCTGTAATAGAAAATACACTGGTACGTTAATTTTCGTAAAAATAATTCATAATAATAATAATCAAATGTTTATTTCCATTCATAACTATCCATAATAATTTGATATTTACCTGTAGTTTTGCTAATTCTTTTTGAAGATAAATCACTGTATTATACATGTGTACAACGAAAAGATCAAATGCATCCTCCTTGACGGAAAATTTCTTTTCTTGAATATTTATACTAGGGAATAAAATGTATAATTCCTCCTCAAATTTCTCTCGAGCCGCTCTCACTTGTTTCCAATAACGTTCAGTAATATTTCCATGTTCCAACTCATCTTCGAATTTCTGTTTGACATCGTCGAGATCATCCAACACTTTTTTAATATTTCTTCTTGCCGCAGTTTTCACATGAGCTGGTGCATCAAATTTGGGCTCATCGATCAAATAATACATTTGTTTGAGCGAATCTAAGACTTTAGTAGCATGTTCCTCTGCTTCACGCAATGCTTCTTCTCTTTTTTCCGTGGCTTCTTTTAATCTACAATAGATTGTATTGGTTAAAAAAGTAATTCTATTATTTATAAAACCATACTTTGTGCAATTTAAAAGTATACCTCTTCCAAATGCTAGAGGGTACCGATGTATCGACACTTTCTACTACTTTAATTACATCATGATTGTAATCCTGTAATGCACATATTGCTGTCTTATAAGCAGCAATAGCTTTAGCCGCAGTTTGGCCACAAAATGTTTCCAACTCGACGAGATTTTCCGGCATTAATTCTTTTGGTATTTCTTTAGATGCTGGCTTTTCAGTAACTGTGTAATACATAAATTATTTAATTAATATAATAAGTACATATCAATGAATTGTTACAAGTTTACGATAAAGTATGATTATGAATTAAATAATATAATCTAAATAATAAGAAAAAAAAAATAAATAAAAGCATACCGCCTTGAATTTCTTCTTGATTTTCTTTAGTTTCTTTGCTTACTCGAATTTCAGCATAAGGTTCTTTAGTAGATGATTCCTTCTTGTTTATCAGTTCTACAAAAGCTGATTTTGGAGCTATAGTATACACATGAATTTGTTAAATGTTAGTAAGTAAATTTTAAGATATAAAGAGCTTATTAATTTTTGTATAATTATAAATGCTTTATATGATAACGCAGGAAGGGACAATGGGAAAAATTGATTGTAAATTAATTTGTTACGGATAAGGTTCTAAGCTCACGTTTATAATCTTCAAACTTCGTGCAATCTAATGATTTTCGATTAACCTGACCTGATTCTTCTTTTTCCGATGTACCCTTGTAGAAAATGGAAGTTATATTTGATATTCTAGAAAAAATACATAAATGTTAATATGTTAATATTGTTTGAGAATTATTAAATTATATCTAAGGAAAACTTTTCCTAACTTACTTCTCCTTCAGAGCATCTAAACGTGTAAGGATTAACTCTAAATAATTAGAGTCTTCCTGAAAGATGATTCGTATTGTTTTATCCGTTCCTGGTATCCATCCTTCTAATGTCGCTCGAAAGTCTGGATTAGTTTTCGCAAAAGCCAATACACCTATGGTCCCGATAGTTAAGGCTCCTAAAGCTACCAATGTACCGGAACTTCTGCTCTTCTCGCTTTCATCAAAAACAGATGTATAAATTTTATTTTGTAACTGAATAAAAATACATATCAAATCAAAATCAAATCAAAATACATATTTCTGGCCATGCATTTTCTCATTAATCATTGATATAACATCTAATATATAATCATACAGATATAACCTATCTATAAGGTTTAACTTCAGCATTCATAAAATTTAAATACCTTCTCTTGGAATCGGTTGAATACTTATGTCCAGAAAGTCTGGACGTAAGTCTAACATCCTTGCAAAACCTAAAAAAAAAGCTAAAACATTATAACATGTTCTTCTATATTATATATTAGTGAAATACAATACATATTTGTTTTTTATGCTTTATATTACTCTGATATGAACTTGCTTTGAAAAATTATCACAATTATCATATTAAACTTTGTACCTACGAATGGTAATCTATTTGAAACATAACCTTACCTGTCTATACGATATGTTCTACATATTAAATGAATTAAATAATTAAGAAAATAACTTCCAGATGATAAAATAAAATGTAAGAAAAATTTGTAAGAGAATTTCAAATCATAAACACTATACATATAAAGAATCATAGATAAAATCGTTTGATAGATTTTAATCAAACTTATTTAAAACTTGTCATAACAGAATTTTTTCTTACTTTCCCTCCGGTTCACACTTGACACGAGCACGCGTTTCATAGTACCTGGCAGTTAGATACAGTCTAGAGTAACCGTGTTTTTTTACCTGAAAGGTCAAGCGTATGTCAAGTCAATGTTCCCAGAATTATATAAGATTCCTAATTTTAAGCCATCTTGTCACACGAGGTACGCAACCTTGATCTTATTCGTTACAATAATCACTGACAACTCGTGTAATTGTCTTCGTTCATAATTTCCAAGTAATGTGCAAAGAATACGCATCCTTCCAATCCTCGAAAAAGCAAACGAATTCGATAAAGAAATAAGAAAAATTTAAATAAAAGATCAATGACTAAGAAAACGTTGTTTTCCAATCATTCTCTTTCTCTCTCATTCTCTTTCTTTACCTCTCTCCCTTTCTCTTTTTGTCTCTACCCTGTTTTTAACCACAAAAAGAGAATTCTTTTCTAAGTAATGTCAAATAAGGATATCGTATAACAAGAAGACTATTTTTCTTATAGCACTACCACTTTACGTACCCCATTTAGACCGTTGCACGAAAATTTGAGTCCAATTCGAAACATCTTTTTCGGGTTGGCCGGTCAGGCAGCCGAAGGAAAAGAGGGAACGATGGTACAAAACAGCTGGCCACTGAACGGAACTACGCGAAAGAAGAATGTTGCGCGTTATTAGCGCTGCAGTTCGAGGTACGCTTTATTAAGGATATTTCAATATCGATAATATTTTCTATCATTACGACTATTTGTCATACGTTCTCGTTCTTACGCATAATTTCAAACACCTCTGTCCTTTTCTAAATCGCCTCTTTAAAAATATTATTTCAGAATACTTTTTAGGTTAGATTTTATAACGGAGCGGAACGATCACATAACATTCTTAACAGAAGGAACAGTCCATTCGTAGTTTATCTGTTTTGTCTTATCGTGTATTTATTTTTTTTTTTCCTATTTTTGAATTTCATTCGAATGTCTCACTTTACTCGTAATTTTGATGTAAATCTTATTTTGTAATCGTTGATAATTTACTATTCATTTTTTATATTTCAGGCATCGTGTCACATGCAACTGTAGGAAATGTTGGTACTCTTCTACTCAAAGAATATCCGAAACTTATTACGAATATTACCCAAAATAGATCCTTCTCTTTTTTATCTACGCAGACATGGTTTAATATAAATAAAGTAAAAGAGAAAACATCGATTGATTGGTACATGATAGCCATCTTTTATATTTAGAATTTTACATGAGATATTTTACATTTTAAAATTATAATTTTTACAGTACAGTAATGCCACATGAAAATATTATCTCTGTGCAAGATACATTAATTACTCCAAAAAGAACCTTGACAAAGTTTTCTTTGAAGAAAGGAAAGAGGAAGACCGTTAAAACAGTTATCAAAAGATTTTATAGGCTAAATTGGTAAAACTGTTAAGCTTTAAGTCTAAAAAATATATATCTTGTAGATATAATATTAATACCATACAGAGAATGAATATGATATAGTTTTAAGTGACCTTACATTTAATGATATTTATTTTCATAGGGGTATATGGATAAGAAGATATGTTGCACATGACAAACATATGTGGAGAAAAACAGAAGGTAGAAAGCGCAGATTACGTCAGCATATTTTCACAAATGGTACACAGTCTTGGTTACTTGATACAATGGTAACCAAGTATTGGAGACGACCAAAATTCTATATCGATGATCCTTACAATCCATATCACAAAAGAGAAGAATTCAGAATAACACGAAAAAAACCTTTAGATTAAATTATTTATTTTAGACTTATTGGATATATAAATCAATTCTGATTTATCTTATAAAATATTATAGAATATGTTACAGAGAAAAAGAAATTATATCAAAAGCAAATCAATAAAATATTTTCATATTGACAAAAGTCAGCAAAAACTGACTTTTGTCAATTCCCAAAAACGCTGAACATTTGAAAAAAAAATAAGTTTACAAAATATCACAAGATGGCGATAGTAACAAAAATCCAATCTCACAATTTGTGAACTTATATTGATCCTTACTATATACGAATTTGCCTAAATTTGATTAGTCGCTCATAGTTTATACAATTTAATTGATTTAAGAGAAAGACAATCTTTCCACATAATTTAATACTAATATCAATAATACGTAACAGTTCAATAAAATAATATTAAAATTTATCCACATATTCAACAATAATCTTGCGAATAGAAAGTTATACGAAGTTGTTCCTAAATAAAAGAAAAAAAGTGTATGATCTTAGAATTTTTTCTTTTTAAATAAAAATATTAAAGCAAATTATTTTGCTTCAAGTGATAAAGTATATTCGAAAGATGGAATAAAAAAAATAGATAAGAAAAAATAAATTTGGATATAATTTGAAAGAATAATAATTATATGAAGAAGATAGGTCATTATCGCAATACCAATGAGTTCCTTCGATATCCGTTAGAGGGACTAGTCAGTGTTACGCATTCTTCAGTCACAATCAGTCTTTCATAACGGATGTATTGATTTCTTTATATCACATTTATTCTATCTTTTTGTAATTTTGTTTATTATAAAGTTTCTGTTTGAGATTTGTTAATCATTGATTAAGGAGTATAAGCTAAATATATTTATAAAAAAAAATAAAAGAAAAAATTCTGATAATAGAAACGAGAATATGCCGTATCGTGGAAGATACCGATTACTTGGCAGAACTTTCCTCTTCTTGAGGAGTTCTTGCAGCGAGAAAGCGAAAGTCAATACACATTTCGTCGCAAATATTACTGCTGTTAGGAACTTCTCTGTGAACAGCGCGCTCAATATGAGGTGAGTCAAATACACCCGGTCTCAGGGACGTATTACTTTAGGGGTTCTTAAGGGAAACAACTATAATTTACTATTAGAAAAAGAAATTATATATATATATATATATATATATTTACACACACACACACATAGATATAACCTACTTATTTCTTAGTGATAATTGCGAAATATATACTTTAGGGTTAAATTGAAATTGACGTCATTGGTCATTTGATTATATTTGGACCTTTCTCTATTTGTCTATCTATATTTCTTACTTTTCTTTTTTCGTATGTCTTCTATACGTTCGGTTCATTTGGTATTCTGCCAATTTTTCTAGAGTATTTTTTATTTTATCTATTCATTGTTATATTTATCCTCATGTTAATGAATCTATTAACATTTACGTTCACTTCGAAAATTATTCTTTCTTTCCTTTTCCTTTCGCATAAATATGTTTTCATTATGGAATAAAATTTATATATGTGCATTCTTATCTTTCAACCCTTCGACCTTTTTTATTAAATATTTGCACTTTGTGATCAGAAATGAAGGTGAAACTAGATCGAAATATTATTTGAATTATAACATATTGTAGCAAAAGAAAAAAAAAACAAAAGAAAATTTTAACGTAATGAAAAAATATAATTTCATTTCATTAATTTGAAATTTAATTATTCAACTAAATATTGTTGAGAAAGTGAAATGGTAGAGTATGTGCGTATGTGTATATATATATGTATATATATGCGTATATGTATACGTACATATATGTAAAAAAAAAAGAAGAAAAGGACAAAATGATTAGATTAGAAAGTTACATTCGTATAGTTTACTTGCAAAACACGTTTGAACATTGTAATGTCGAATGTATTTCTAGTTGCAAAATAAAAAAACATTTGAGAGTGAAACAGTTCAACAGCATAAATCATTCTTTTTAATCTCGATTATAGATTAAAAATACATATATATGTATTTCGAAAGAATTTGGATGATCATTGTTTTCTGGATGTATCTTTCTGGAGATATATTTCTTTTTGTTTCTCTTTTTTTATTTTCTTTTTTTCAATTATTCGTCGATTCTTTATAGGTAACTATTTCACGATATATTTACGTAAAACGATAATTTCATCCAATGTCAGGAAAAATAATTGCTGATATTGCATAAATATGATTATTCCTTCTTTTTTGTAGTTAACTATACTGTTATGAAAACTGTCAACGACGTAATAACTATTTCGCAAAATTGGTCGATTGTCCTTCAAAATTATGTAATTTTCAATTTCTTATGTTTATTAATAATACTTTTTCCGAAATATCATCGTTTTAGCTTGAAATATCAATGACATTTATTTTACATAATAATTTATATATTTTTGAATTCGTAATTGAATGTTGACTCAAGTGTGTTTGCTAAAAAAAATTCACATGTAGTCAAGTATAAAGAAAGTGATATAAATCGTTATCTATTGAATATTTCATTCTTATTTTTTTCTAATAATGAATGTATAGTGAATGTGTAAAGAAACAAATTGCACCTGTAGGTTTAACGTCCCCAAGTTTTGAAATATTGAGGTTAGTTACGTATCAATGCGTCGACGTTTAACAAAGAATATGTATGCTTTGTAGAAATAGTATCTCATATAATTGATATTCTATTCGCATGAAGCTTTGGTTAGTAAATATAAATTTAATAAATTTTCTCACATAGATGATAATCTTTTAATTTATAAATAATTATTATAACCGTTTAAAAAATAAAATATTATAGAATAATTAAAAGATGTATGTTTATAAAATATTGATAAAAAAATATGAGATTACGATATTTAGTTTGTAATACATATATACATAAATATTTGATATCTTGGATAATAAGTACGATTTGTTTATTTTCATTATTTACACTTTAAATCCTTCCTAAAATATAAGTTTAATTTATTTTTAAATATCAATCGTGGAAAGAAAGAGTGAGAGAGAACTTATTAAAATAAGTTCTGATTTCGAATTCTCTTTATAGATTCGTGCAATTCACGAATAAAAATGGCGGTCCTCAACATTTAGGAGTCCAACTTAAAGAAGGTGGAGATATCATAGCTGTTTCTGCGGTTGATTCCAGGATTCCGAATTCGTTAAAGAAATTCCTCGAGGGTGGAGATGACCTTGTGAAAAGTGCTAAAAGGTAATTGTATTTTTCTCCTTGTTTTTATCTTTCACCTATCGATTATTAGCAATGTTATCGATAGTTGATAATGGACGATAATGCATAGTGATCGTCGAAAAATATTTATTAAATTTAAAAATAAAATGAAACTAAGAATATTTTATATAAATATTCATGAAATTTTGTTATTTTTTTTCTAATATAAAACGAATCATTTTATTTAATTATTCTTTTACTGGTAATTAATATTCAAATTGTTTTATTACAACAAAATTATTTGTAATATTTCGAGATTAATAACAATTATAATTTTAATTATAAATTTCCATTGAAAATTTCAAGTAATTTCTAAAGTAAATAGAAAAAATAAAAATATAAAAGAAGTAAAGATAAAGTCAATTATACTTACGTAATTTGGTCAATAAAAAATTTATAATACGAGATAAGTTACGAGATAAGAAGCGATCATTGAGTTCTATATAAAAAAAATTATTCACGATTCAATGACTTTATTATTGCTTATTTTTTGTTTATTTCTTTCTTCGAAAATATATAAAATATCGTTCTCACATAAAAACTTTGTTTCGCCAGGGAAGACGATATCGATTTAATGGCGGCTGTAGAGAGGTTGGTTATTGCACGAAATTTAAGTCCCATCAAGTTTGCATTATACATTCCTGATCATTTTTTTGTTCTTTATTGAAAAACAATTACATTTTGTCTAATTTTCATAAGGAAATCTAAAGTAATTTTTAATTTTCATGACTATGATTATACTCCCTCCCACTCTCCTTCTTTACTTTAAAAAAAGAGGGAGAAAAGTTCTCTTATCGAATCACGTTCATATGCTATCATTGTATCCTTATCACATTGTTTGGCTTTCAGTAACAAACGAGATTTCGATCTTAAAACAAACAACAATGTTTCGTATTACATACAATTGAAAATATATAGACTGTATGGCTATGTTTGCAAGTGCAAAATACAATACCTATCGCCTTACTTATTTCTAATGCCTCTTCGAACGTGAAAAGAATACTTTCTTTTTTGTTTTTGAGTCTTGAGAGCTTCTCTGAGTGCTTTCATATTATAAATTAGTATGCAAATTGTTCACTTCCTTTGTTCTTCGAAAGAAAAATGTTTTTTTTTTTATATTGGACATACGTGTATATCTGTTAAAAAGTGTATATATGTATTTATGATATAATGTATCATGTTTGAATAGAATCGTCGCCGAAGGACGTAGCATAATTCCGGCGGAAGACGTGAATTTTTTGGCACCAATTACGCGTATGGACAAATTAGCATGCATCGGTTTAAATTATAGCGGACATTGCGAAGAACAGGGCGTATCGCCACCGGAAAGTCCAGTAGTATTCAGCAAATTTCCTAGTAACATTGTAGGACCAACCGATAATGTTATTTTACCTTCAATATCAGAGGTGAGTATAGATTTCGCATAAAAACATTTTTTTAAGATTTACATTTAAAGAAATCTACGTTACCGGCGTGATTGTTGTATTGACTTTATAATTATGGTATAAAATCATGAACAAGTTTTATTCGAAGATATCATCAATATAATTTACATTTAATTAAGATATATAATTAACAAATTAAAGGTCAGATGATTCGAATTTATATTATCAATCAATGACATCGATTCGTTTCTAATGTAAATAATATTTTTTGAAAGACATCCATGAGAAACATTAATGTCTTTAATTATATCCACTAAGTTATATTATATTATGTTCTAAGTTATATTGTAACTTTTGAAAGTATCAATATCAACATTTGAGTAGTCAGAATATTTTTAGTCGTTGAGATTATGTAACTTATTAATATGTTTTTGATTTAATTATATCAGATATCTTTTTTAATATTATAATGTCTCGTTTGTTAAGTTTGTTTGAGAGATAAGAAAAAGATAATAATATGATTTCAATCCAATGATTTTTTTATTTGTTTCACATAGAGTAAAGTAAAAAATTAATAAAATAGATAAAAAATAATAAACAAAGTAATAATTGGTTTTATGATTTTAATAATAAATATAAAAGTATTTAATTATATAAATTGTATAAACTTTATGATCTTGTAATTAATATTTTTTAAGAAATATTTCCATCTAATTAAAATTCTACTTACATATAAATTCGTTTATTGTATAAACGTTATTAAATATAAAATAATTTCAATTTATAGATAATTGTTATCCTCTAAAAAATACAATATTACAAAAATTATAATATATTCAAGAATATTAATATTTATCAATCTTTTCAATATAGAAGGTCGATTGGGAAGCTGAACTTGCTATAGTGATTGGAAAGCGATGTAAGACTATCAGTGATAAAGAAGCAGAGGATTGCATTTTTGGGTTCACAATTGCTCAAGATATAACAGCTCGAGATTGGCAGAAATCGAAACGCAATGGTGGACAATTTCTACTTGGTAAAAGCATGGACACATTCTGTCCACTTGGACCTGCTGTTGTGACGAAGGAATCAATATCCGATATTAATAATTTAACGGTGAAAACCTGGGTAAATGGTAATCTCAAGCAAAATGGAAATACCAGTGAACTTATTTTCAAACCTCACGAAATTGTTGCTTATATATCCCAGTTAGTATTATTTTCTTTTCATTTCATAATAGAAATGGAAGGTTTCATGTCAAAGAATATATATGTATTTATGATATAATGTATCTTTGCTTTTAGATTTATGACTTTGTTACCTGGAGATGTAATACTTACTGGTACTCCAGCAGGTGTAGGATTCACGAGAAAGCCACCGGAGTTCTTGAAAGTATGCTGAAATAAATTTCTTATTTCATTAAATAATTAAGAAAGAAATTATTTTCTCAAACTTTAAGACCTTAAACTTTGTTTTCTCTTTTACAGCGTGGAGACGTTTTGGAAACAGAAATTGGTAATCTTGGACGTTTGAGAAACAAAGTATTGTGATTGATGAAATGTAATTATTTGCGTCGAACGAAACAGAGATGTCTTTTAATTAGTAAATGGAGAAACATGTGCTTTCTCGATTCATTTACGTATGTCAAACTCGAATCGTATCGATGATTTGTCACAGATAGATCAGAAATGTTTACGGACATGACAGAGAGCTGAACTTTATGAATATATGCGTAGCCATGCTACTTAAGAAAAATTGCATCGATATACCTTTTTAGAAAGAAAATATTAAGTCGGGCAAACCATGAAATCCGTGCGGAACCCATGCCTTTTAAATGTAATCATTCAATTTCGCTACTTTTATATACATTATGCATTTTATGTATTTGTACACTAAACATTAAAGAAAAACTGTTTCTACAGAATCGATTCGATCTCATTATCTTAATAATTAAATTTAAAGTTTACATTTAACACGTAACTTGTAGAGTTATCATCAATGACGTATCTATAAACTACGAAGTTGATATTTCACGAACATTATCGTTACCTACTGTTGGTATATTCAATTTCATCCATAAAAACAATGTGCTTGATAAAATCCATATCAGATGGCATCACTAGTAACTGTCAACAAAAATATATATATATACAAATATATTAATGTATAATAAAATATAATAAATATAATAAATAGGACGAATAAAATATTAACAAAGACACTATTATTATTTCGAGCCAGTTTCACTGGTTAAACGTTTAATCTTGAGATATATTTTATATGTCAGCAATTCTACCGAAACATTTCTAAATTCAGTAATGAATTTTATTCTTCACATAATTAAATCTTATTGGACCCTTTCGCTGATCGAGAGAGCGTAGGAAAAAGAACAGAAGGTACTGATGAAGCTGAAAGTTCATGAAAAGTCAATCGACTTTCGAAGTCAACCCTCGAAAAATCGATCTTTGGGGAACATTTCTCGAGCCTCCCGTTGTCCTCAACAATGGATCGTTCGGTGGTACCTAATTCGCAACAATGGTTCTAGTGGCCATATATTAATAGTCACTCGTATATATATATACAGTAAATGGTAGAACAGGATGGGCATTGTTGCATAGGTCGGAAGGGCCGATATCGAACATTTCGAGTTCCGTATCGCGTTTCTACGAATTGCTTGTTCACCAGAGGACAGATGTCACACTCGATATTGTGAATGATAAATGACTCTTCAAAGATCCATCGTATTCACGTTTGAAATAATGATTTAGATGTCTTAGCACGGTTATGAAATGAATTTTACACGAGTATGAAACAAGTAATTTTGGAAATAGCAGCATCGAAAAATTGTATGTTTATTTTAAAGATCGTACTTTTTCAAATTCTAAAAACGAACGAAGATCGTTAAGTTATATGATTCGTCTTGTATATTATTTACTAAAAAAAAAAAAAAAAAAAATATTAAAATATTCTGATTAAGAGAAAGAAAAGTTTGTTCAATGATGGTATAATTACAATCAATAAAGCATCTCACATATATGGATATATATTAATATTTACAATGAAATCAATTTACTCGAGATAAAGAAAAAAATAATGTAAAAAAAAAACAAATTTCTATTTTCTTGTACTTCTCGTAATATTCTACCACTTACCCGTCTCCGCTTCGTTGAATAGATTCGAAGAAAATAATTATTGTCCTCCCGTAATTACGTCGATGCTTTGTAAGTGGCCGGATAGAACACGATGGACGAGAGAGATTTCTTAATATTCAATTATTCTCACGCGAGGAATACGTATACATACGTAGATACTTACATACATACTTATATACATACGTATATACGTACACATAGATATGTCTATATAGAGTATATAGTATACGAGATTTGCGAGATCATTTGAATCAGTGATGTATACCTAGCTACCTATTTGATGGCGCATAATGTAAAAAAAATGGAGGGTGGAGTTGTAAGAATAAGGGAAAGGGTATGTTTTCTCTACTTACATACACAAGTTTCGCTATGCTTCATTCGTCGGTTTCGTAGTCACCGTAATTAGGGAGCGCGTAACAAACGGCCAACTATTATTCCACGATGGTATAATGACCGCGTGCCAGCGGGATGTTTGCCTTCAATTTGGTGAGCTTATCGTCGCCGTTATCGGCCGATTTATTGACCGAGCCCGGAGAAACGGCTTGCTCTAGGAAAAACACGCCTCGTGCCACGAAACGCCACGCATGAATTCATTGGGATTACGAAGGGGTGATCTTATCTGGTCCTCCATTAAGAAACATCGTGACGTTACCAACCTCCCACCCTCTTCTTTTCGATCCACCATCATATCTTTATAGCAAGTAAGTAATCACGTAGATGTCTTCGTATGTTGTTCGTTTCACTCTTTTTTTCTTCCTTTTTTTTAATTTGGTCTTATCCTTATCTTATTATAGATTCATTTTCATTTAATTTCAATGATAAGATTGAAGAATTAAGATTTTAAATCTTGGAAAATAATTCTTGTTTCTTATTTATTTTATTTTGTTTGTGTACGTAGATGGATACCAACAGTAAACTTTTATTGATTTATTAATATATGCTAATTTATATTAATGTGTTTCTTTTTCGTAATGTTTCTTTCTTTTCTTCTTTTGATATCGATATTTATAGATAATTAAGTGTTCCCTTTTTCTTATCTTTTATCTCATCAATTTTTTTATTTCCTACTTTATAAATAGATATTTCTAACAGAGCGAGCGCATGCTTCATTCAATCAAATAAATATGCATATGAAAAATTTAATTAATTGTTTTGTGAATATTTAGATAAATTATCAAAAAAAAGATTTTTTTTGGTTCACTAACGAACTGGAATTTTCATTCGAACACATACAATTCACCTTATATGCATATGTACAAGATATATTGTATGTACATATGTATGTCTCATGTATGGTTATATACCATAGAATAGAACAATAACGATAGCGTTCTGATGAAGCGACGGAAGCGACGGCTTACGCGGTACGACTAGACCTGTCCACAATACCAACGACAATGGACGCAAACTACGGTCAATAAAGGCCGACCTTATGACTCCGTCACGACGGAAGCTCTTTCCGTCGACCTGTAATTCGATTTTCGAAAGGATACCAAACGATTACGGAAACTGATTAACGAGATAACCAATGATATTATTAGAACAAAGCTGATTAATGATAATGAACAATCAGTAAGATAATGATTTTGATAATTAACATTTTACAAGAAGAAAATTCCAAAAGAAGAAAATAAATAATGAATGTTCTCTAAATTTGTCAAATCTTGATTCTTATATTTTATCATTTAAATTAAATGAAAATGAAGAAACAATAAGAAAGAAACCATGATAATTAATATTATAAAAGAAAAAAAATTAATAATACATGTTCTCCAAATTTTTGAGATCTTAATTCTGAAGTATTATCATTTAATATTAAATGAAAATGAATAAATTATAATAAAGTGATTTTATATAACTTGTGAACAATTAGGTAAATTGTTTGAAATATAAAAAAGAACATTTTTTTCAAAGTCCACTTCTACATTCTAATAGAATATTTAAATACATGTAAGATAATTAACAGTACACATAGGCGAAACAAAATTACAATAAAAATTACAAAATAAGATGAATAAGAAAGAAGATTACTTTCGAATATTATACATTTTTTCATAAAAAAGTTGAACTATTACGAAGTGAATAAGTATGTCCATATAAAAATAATTAATGAACTCTCAATTTGTTATTTTGATGAATATTTTTTTAAGACATCAACTCGAATATTTTATCTTTCAAATCATCTTGAAAAGTAAAATGAACGTGTTAAGATAAGAAGTATAACAAACTGCTAATTCTTCATGGAAGCTAACGAAGGTGGCTACCTATCTGAAGAACACGCAGCAAACGTGTACTAATGGCGTTTCGATTAGCCACGATGCGGATCGAATGCCGCAGGCTAGGCATCGTTGCACCTGCCGATTGGCTTCCTTTTCCTTTCTGACGTCCAGACTGCAGCTGAACGATTTCGATCTTTCCCTGATTACTGTAGTTATTAGTTGTTGGTGTCCTTCCGTGACTGATAGTCTTCACGTTCTCCTCGCTCGACAACATTTTTTTCATTGTAATTCTCGAGTGATCGTTTCATTCGATATTCGAACAAAAAAGAGTTTAGGGTAAACAGTTGAATTATCTATTATCATGACAACAGTGATTACTTTTTGTCTTTTCAATTTAATATTAAAGAATTTTATAATATTTATTGTTTATTTTATTATTGTTATCGTTGTTATTTATGCGTGTTTTATTCGTTTTTTAGTTGAATATTCAATAATATATGTGAAAAGTTTACAAGAAAAGGATCCTATATATAGGATATACTATAATTCAGAAACGATTTTGTTTAGCTTCGTTGTTAAAAGGATAGGTCTTTTAGTTAGGATAGATTTAACAAAAGAACAGAACGTGGCACGGTTTCTCAAAAGTATCTAAATGAGTCGTTCAAGAATGAAGCGTGAAAACAGCGCTTGAATAAGGGCGCAGTTCCAGTTTCGGAACAATGGAGAAAACTAAGTGGTTGGGTATGGTTCTCAACGGGTGGTATACTAACGGCAGGGGTTTTCAAATTTTTCAGGATATTTGAAGAATTCTTTAAAGTTATACAAAAATTTTTTGCACATGTCAATATAACTATTCAAATAAATCTTCTGATTTATTTTTATCATTAACTGATTTATCGTTAAAATTTGTTATTTAGATGGACTTTTCTAAAATCATGTTTATTTGATCGAATGGGAAAATTGATCAAATCCTTTTTAAGGTTCTCGAGATAATAAATAGTCTGCACTTACTTAGAATCGATTTGTGCAGTTGTACACAGAAGGGGCGGTTTTTGGTCAATCGACAGTTTGGAAACCCCTGTGCTTCTAGGATATATCGAACGACAATGTCAAAAGTCAATGGTACCCTGTTATTCGGGACATTATGGGACATCGTTCATCACGTCTCACGACAGGGAAGCTGGACGTCCGTATGTTCTTGCCAATTCTGTGGAAACCATCAACCTCGCGACTCTATCTTTTTCAAGAATGAATTACATTTTAAATCAGTAGATAGGGACTAGTTGATCGATACTTAACGAGTTTCGTTACGGTATCGATTTTAAATATAAAGGATGATTTTGATAATCTTATGGTACGATGATTTAAACTTCATTTCTCTTAGAAAATTCGATTTTAAACATTAAACAGCAACATTAGAGTGTCCGGATGGTTTCATCGATAATAATTAAAAGAATAAAAATAGGAACAATTTATATCTAATTAAAAATCAGCGAACTGTTCACCATATTTGAATGATAAGAATGAGGATTGCCTATAAAAATGGAAAAAAA